AATTTGTTTGGTAATGAGAATAGACAATGTCTATGGGTTCATGTGAGAAATGTAGTAAAAAATGGGTAGATCAAAAAGGTGTTGGAAAAGACCAACAAAGGGTTGGATTAAGTGGCAAGCGACTTGTTCCAGCTTAAGCAGAATCTCGAGTTCGAAACCTTATGTATGCAGCAGCTTTCGTTGGGAGACCCACCCACCATTCTGGTGCGCCACAGCTGGTTGAGTCCGAAGTAGTCGGGGCGAAGCCTTGGATACCGGATGGGAAACCGAAAAAAAAAAAAAAAAAGGTATTGGAAAAGTGCTGATGGGGAAGAAGATGAACAGTGTTTGGTAATAAGTGAGGATAACTTTTAAGCAACTGTCAAACAACATTAAATTATTTATTTACAATTCAACTAGAAGGGTGTACTTGGGTGGTGTGCTGGTTTTGAGTGTACCCATATCATTTTTAAAAATTAAATAAATGTAATACATTGTCTATATAATATTAACCAAATAGATGTATATATAAAATTATGAATTTCACTAGATTTAATAATTAAAAATTGAACTACTCATGTTGTAAAATTTATTGCCAACAAACATTATCAAGAGAAAATACAACAATTTGAAAAGGTACGGGGTGGTATTTTACTAAGTTTCCACTAATTTAGTGACAGATGAATTTGATGCCATATGTTGCCTGTCTCTCCATGGGGTGTTAGAACCGGAAATTATTTTTATGAGGAAACATGTTGTGTGCCGTTCAGGCTAATTTGCTTTAGCATCGGTTCCTAGTACCCCACAAAAAGAAAGGAACCAGAATCAAATGAAGGGTTGCTGATCATATTTTGGATGAGAGAGTGGGATGAGATCAAGTTAAATGACATCAGGAACATGAAGTCCACATTTTCATTCTTCTTTATTATTATTATTATTATTATTAGATATAAAATTTCATTAATATAAGCATTTTTCTTCCTTTGACAAAATCTCTTTATTGTTAAGCTTTCAGACTTATCCCATTTTCGTGTGATATATAGCCCCTAAGATTTCCATCTCATGATGCCGTTTGCAGAGGGGCTAATTTGCCCAAATCAGGCGGTTTAAGGGCTTGCGTGCTTGATTTTTTATTTAAGGGCTTTCACATTAAAATAACATAAGTTTGAGGGTTTAACAATTGGTTTTGCCTTTAACTTTAAATTGACTAGCAGAAGGAAGTATAAAAACATTATATAAATCGTCCTTCAAATTCAAGTGAGAAGATTATTCTATGCACACTTTGTGAATACTTATTGGAATGAAACTATAAGAACGTGGAATAGACTGTCCTTCAAACTAAGGCCATTAGTCAATTTCTTTTGCGGCGAATAGAGGGGAAATCGTATGTGTGGCCCTTGGTAATCTTATTCATTTTGCTTTGCATCTGATGAGTAATGATATAATTAGGAAATATTCTTCACTTCTCAAATCTTTTCTTACTCTATAGTTTCAAACGATTTAGACTTGAAACTAGTAAAATTAAATTTTTATATTTTATTAGTCGAGACCATCTTTAAAAGAAAATAAAGTAGCCACTACATTGTAGAAGAATTTCTTTACTAAAAAAATTACTTTGACAAATAACAGGGTTTTTATTTTACTAATAAATTTCCACCTCATGGGGGAATTTGATGCAATATGTTCGCTGTCCCCCTATATGCTTTTAGATGAATAGGAGATTATTTTTAAGTGGAAGCATGTCACTTTTTCAGGAAGAAAAAGAAAGAACAGTGAATAATTTGTTCTGTATTAACTGTTTATTTTATAATCATTAATAAAAAAAATGAGCTTTTTAATATTAAAATAGTCATTTTTTTACTTATAATTATAAAATGAGTAATTCATATAAGAGGAATTGTAAATTTTTTTTTAAATAAAAAAACAAACGGTAAAATCACCATCTCTAAACAAATGTTTAGAAGAAGAAGAAGAAGAAGAAAAAAGTCACGTGCCATTTAGCTTGTGCAGATGATGAATACGCATTTAGGTGCACGGTGGCAAATTGAAGCCATGGTCCATGGTTTTTGGAATTTGAAAGCTGTCCTTTAATCTTTTGGGTTGTTATTTTGTATATGTAGCTAGGGAGGCAAACAAAACAGCTGATTGGGTTGCAAAAGCTTCCCTGTATGATAATTGTCCTTTCCATTGGGTGCTTTGTCTTAATTATATACAAGTAAGATGTATCCACATTTTTATCTTTTATACTCTCTCTATCTCAATATAATTGTCATTTAAAAATTTTTTTTTCATAAATTAAAAATTTAAAGACAATATTTATATTTATTTGTAATAACTTTAAAAAATAAAAAATAAAGAGAAACTTTTTGTAATTAGATGATTAATTATGTGAATAAATAATAATGGGATTAAAATAAAAATGTATTTGTCTATCTTAAAAAATTAAAAAAACAACAATAATTAAAAATAAATTTAAAGTCAACTAATTTAATGTAGGATATTTTACATTAAATTAGACTCAATTTAAATCTAGTATATCACTCACTTTCACTAAAAAAAATTATTATTAAGCCAATTAAATCGTAGGATTGAGTCTCTTAATTATAGAAGAGTATGGTCTCTCTACATTTTTATCCTATACATCCAAAGTTTGAATTTTGTCGAATACAAATTTAGTCTAATTTAATGCTAATTATAATTTTTAATTTTTTTAATGAGAGGTACATTTTTTTTTTGTTTGATCGCCAATGAGCCCATAAAATAGTTTGCAAATATTTTGAGATAAATCTTTCTTCTGTTAAATTAAAAATAATTAATTTATATAAAATTAAAAAATTCATTAAAAATTACATTCTCGTTGGCTTATCCATAAAACATTTATAAGTATTTAATTTTGAAATCCGTGAGTATTGGCATGGTATGAATCATATGCTGGAGAAATATAAATTTTAATATTGTTATTTGAATGAAAATAATTCTAATGAGTTATATTTATTACCTCTTTATAAAGATTTTTTTAATATTTAAGAACAAAGTAATTTACAAGTATCTATTAAAAATATATCATTTCTAAAGAAAATTATGCAAGCATAGAAAGATAAAAAATGGAAGGAACTCCAATCCATAAAAAATAGATTCCGGGGAAAAACATTACCCCTTCTTAATTTATTGGTTAAAATGATGGTCATTCCAAGCGCACTAGCAGCATCCATGGTTCGGAGAAATGAGAGCTTTTTTTCTTTTCTTTTCTTAAAATTAAACTAATTTTTTTTTTTTAAGTATCTTTAACAAGTTAGGAATGAAGCCGAATTAAATTTGAATTTTTCTTTTAAAATAAGAGATAAGGAATACCCATTATTAAGAAAGATGAAATAATAATTATTTCTTAGTCATCCCCTAAATTATAAGAAAATTATTCAACTTATTTAAAGGAAGTCACAATTAAAACCCATGTTGTGTGTGGGATACTAGTACTAGAAAAGGGCACACACCCCGTGGATGCTCAAGGGAGCATCTCCTCCTGCTGTCAGCAAGATACTAATCCAGAATTGAGCCTGCACCCCGAAACATTAAATAATCAATTTTTTATGTCATATTCTTGGATAGTCAAAATTATATATATTGGAAAAACATTCATCACTCATAATTTTAAAAAGTTAAATAAAAAATATTTTAAAATTATGTGTTTTAATTAATTTGTAAAAAATTAAAATATCTTAATTTTTAAAATATATAAAAATAACATTGTTTTAATTTTTCAATTATTTTTTCAAAATAATTTAATTTTAAGTTTTTTTACTTAATTTTTACAAATCTAGTTGATAAAACACTAAATTTCAATATATATATATATATACTAAAAATCACGATAGAAAAAACAAATAAAAATACCGTGGCACCCTTCCGTTTGTAAATCGCAAGTGGGGGGACGAAGATGGCGAGGAGGATGTCGGTGATGCTTGGACCGGTACCTGAGTTTGGCTTATTGTTTCCATTTCCACACCGGAAGCATCCGCAACGCAACACATTTTGAGGATGATCAATATCTCTAGGGTGTTACAGTTGAAACCCAAGCAATTACCGGTGCCGAGAGAGTTTAGGGCTTTGCGTATTTTATATCACCCAAAATGCTAAAAGGCTTTGCTCCCTTAACTTAGAATATGTTCCTAGTACCCCACAAATGGGAACCAGAATCGAATGAAACAACTAATGCCTGGTGGTGACCATATTTTTGATGAGGTAAAATGACATCCTAGTAACATGACTTCATGTACATGACATTTGCAATCTTGTTTTTTTCCTTAAGAGATATACTCTTTTATATTACATTTTGTAACTAACTCAAAATATAAAATTAGAATCTTAGTGTAAGCCTGTGCGATCAATATGTGCAATATCAATAATATTGTATCCAAACCAAAATAATAATAACTCAACTCACAATAGCTACTTGTCTTTCTAATTACCATA